AAATCTCCATAAAGTTGGTTTATATCTTTAGTTAGTGTACAGCACTTCAAAGGCAACATTGGGCAGAGGAGTTGGTTATTTTTAGAACGACACATTAATAGTTAGACATGAATAATTTCTATCACCAGCAAATTAAAGCGCTGAGTTGTAAAAGAAGCCAAAAATATTTGCATAATTTCAATTTATCACTTACATTTATTCAGAAATCTTTAACCTATATCAGAAATTACTTGCATCTCTGCCTTAAATGTGATACCAGCTACATTTTTTCATTTATTTGGCAAAGAGATAAGCATGCAAACTACACTACACAAACTGCAACAGATGTAAAAATGTCCCTGAATAAGAAAAAAAACAAGATTTTGTCCTTAGTCGAGCTGTAAGAAAAAGTTTTGTAAATATGTTTCTCTAACAGAAGGTTATTTATCATAATAAATGTTTCATTAAAGCTCAAATTAATAAATGCTTAGTTATGAAAACACAAAGGTCCAAAACCAAAGTTTAAATGCAAACGTTGGTTTTACTTCTTACTTTGCGATGATTAACTCAGTCAGATTGTTTTTTTTTAACAAATCAAACCAGTAAGACGAGAAACAGACGGACGATCCAAACAAAGACTCAAACTAACACAAAAAGTAGATCCCAGATCTAAATCCTGTAAGAAAATATTTCAGGTGAAGTCTAAAGACGAGACGATAAGAAAGAGAACACGACTCTACATGAAAACACCCAACACTCCAGTTCTTTAAAGTAGCTTTTATTTAGGAAGTGAAACCAATTTTGAGTGTTTTCATTGTGCTTTACATCGCCACCAACCCAACTGGAGGTCCAAACGGACCTCAGAGGAAGAGCTTATAACAGGAAGCTTCAGTAAAAATAATCATCATCGTCTTCGTCGTCATCCCAACTGTACAGATCTGTAGAAATAGTCCGACTCCAAAGTCACATCAGTTCGTATGTACAAGGCCGTTAGCTGCAAAATAGATGCATTCTTGTTTGCTCTTAAAAAAGGTGTTGTGTTGATGCTTTCAGAAATATTTCCAAAAATGGCACAGCATTCTGCAAACTGGAGGTGTCACTTTTCCTTTTTTTGTTGAATATTTTCTCGTGTTATTAAAGGACAGTACAGCCTGTGTTACCAGCATTCTTTTGTTTTGTTGTTTGTTTGTTTTTTACATTTTCTTCATCACACTAGAAAAGGGAGAAGGAGGTTGTTATTTCTACATACAAGGCATTTTCTACCTGAATCTAAACTCCTTCACTGTGCTACTACTTTTGACTCAAAAAGAGTTGTGAGATATAATTTATAAGAGGAAGTGCTTTTATATAAGAATAGTTTAACTACCTTGTGGCTATAGTAGGCTACAGTAATTCATAGTAGAGTCTAAGTGTTCAGAGATGCTCTCTGGTGCTGAAATATTGACCGTGTTTGCTCTTTCTGTTGTTAAATTCAAACAGAAAGACACTAGCAAAGACGTATTTCCGTCTACGGAGTCGCACACTTTAACGTTTAGATCTGAAAAAAGTCCATTCTGGAATCTGTTCAAAGACTCAGAGACCCTCAATCAGCACAAACCGACTGCAAAGCCGCTCTTTGTTGAGCTCTTAACAGTCTCGTGTTACAGTCACAAACTTTAATACATTTTATGGGAATTTTATGTGGTAAACAAACATTAAATTGGGTTAACTGGAAGATAACTGGAGTGGAAAGAAAGATACATGTACTTTTTTTTTAATAAAGAAACTTTGATGATTAGTGTAGGGATTTGTATTTGTCTTAAATCACATACCACTAAATAAAGTGGGAAGTCACTTCATTAGCAAACAGAATCCACCTATTTGCAATTTAATCTCAGTATAAATTACAGCTGCCAATTGATTTAAAAAGTACCAGATTAATCACAGTCTGGGATTAATGATTAATCACTATAACTATCTTTGTAATCTTGAAATATAAACACGCACAAAGTTGTACAAGCCCAACTAGCCACAGTCTAACCTGTTAAAATGTAAGAAATTATCTGATTGGTATTTTAGCTGCAGAAAGCTGGTAATGTCTCCCAGTACTTTACAGCAACTAAGGCGAACGTACGCCACTGCACACGTACATGAGGAGGAGAAAACTTCTTGCCCAGGGGAAAACTGACAGAAAGGATCAGTGATGTCACCCTGGATAAATGCTCATATCAAAAAACCTCCCCTGTCTGCACATTTTCAAAAAATGTTTTATTGTCTCAAACCAAACACGTCTGAAGATCCTCAACTTTTATGTTCAAGAAGGTTTACAGGAAGCCATTTTGGTTTAAACGTTAAATATCCTATCGAACTTGTGCGTTCAGGCGACGGTCGCTTGTCCTCCTCCAGGAAAACCACCGGCGTAATTTGTGCATGTGAAATGTGTAGCTTGTGTATGTAGATGTAAACAGATGTGTGGGCTAGCGACGCAACACAAGAAACCTGAAAAATGTTAAACTTTTGTTCTTCGTTCATCTTTCGTTGTTGTTTTTCACACCCCATGTGTAATGCTCTGCTGGAGATAGGCTTCTAGGTCAAAATATCATTAATTAATCTAAGTTTTGTATAATATGTGCTTTAAAATTTTAATATTAACGTGTTAACTGGTATAACTTGTTCTGTGAAGACCTTTGCTTGAGAACGCTGGTGAACCAACAACAGTAGCACAACAGACAGGCCAGGGAGGAAGTGATGGAGAAGCTTCATTCATGCAAAAATGGAAAGGGGCCGGTACGTCACAAACCTCCCCAGACATGGTCGAGCTCTAAAGCTAACGGACTGGAGGAGACTTTTAGTCAGAGAACCAGCCAAGAGGCCCATGGTGAGTCTGGAAGAGCTTCAGAGATCCACAGCTCAGGTGAGAGAATCTGTGGACAGGATATGTTTTAGTCGTAAACTTTATCTACCTTTACGTTACGGCAGAAAACCTGAAGAACTCCTGATGGTTTACCATGAGCAGCACAGGTTGGCATCACACTTATAAAACAAGATGACCTGTTCATTTGACACTAAGTTGTTATTTTCTTAGCCTACTTACCAACTATTATGTGTGACAGGAAACAAATAGTGCATCTCGTGCCAATATCGCATTAAACAGAGTGGATGTTAAGCATTAAAAGCAAACTGGTTGTAGTTGGATGGAGCTAAAATCAGGGCAGCTCTTTAAGTAAACTTAATTACTAAGACTGCAAAAACATCTTACCAAGTATTTTTTTTTGTCTAGTTTCTAGTTCAAATATCTTAGTACAAATGAAATGAGACAAACTAACTTGCGTGACTTTTCAGTAAGATATAGCAGCTTGTTTTAAGTCAATAATTCCTTAATATTGATGCAAAGGTTCCAGTTAAATTGGTGGATTATTTCACTTATGGCAAGACATTTTCCTCATAAGTGAAATAATCTGCAATTGCAACAAATACTTTTTACTGACTTTAAAAAAGCTCTTATTTCTTGCTGAAAAATTACTCATAAGTTACTTTTGTCTTTTTTCCAAGTGTGATAATGTAACTAGAAACTAGGCCAAAAAATAGTTTGTAATATTTTTACTTCCAGCAGAACAACTCTAAACACACAGAGTTTAGATCAAGGCTTATATCCATGTTAGAATGACACAAATCAAAATCAATCCACAAAAATCAAGAATCTGTGGCAATACTTGAAAGTTGCTGTTCATTTGTACTCTCAGTTTGGTCAGACGAAGCTCCAGCTACTTTGGAAAGAAGAATTGGACGATATTTCAGCATCTAGGTGTGTAAATGTGGTACAGATACGCCAAAAAGCAACTTTTTAATTGTTTTAGGTTTTTTTCAAGCAAAAAGTTTTTCGGTAACACTTTATTTGACGGGGTGTGCATAAGACTGACATGGCACTGTCATAAACATGACATAACACCTGTCATGAACATAAAGAAGTCTTTATGAATGTCTATAACTGTTGTCATCAAGTGTAATTTGGTAAATAATGACACTTCTAATGCAAAGTTGCTTTAAAAGTTGCATTAAAAGTCCATTAAAAGTGCCAACTAATGACAATTTAATGCAAAGTTGGCACTTTTAATGGACTTTCAATGCAACATTTAGAGCAACTTTGCATTAAAAATGTCATTATTTACTGAATGACACTTCATGACAAATGTTATAGACATTTATAAAGACTCCATGTTTATGACAGTGTCATGTCAGTCTTTTTCACATCCCATCTAATAAAGTGTTACCAGGTTTTCTACAAGCCATGTATTGAGTTCATTCCACTTCATAACTTTGCATAAAATCCCAATAAAACACCAAAAAGTTGTGGTTGTAACCAGATACAATGTGACAGAAGTTCAAGTTCATCCATGTTTCAGCACCAGAGATCTACCTTCTACTTTCTACAATATTTTAGAATATTAATACAAGGCAGGCAGTGCAAAAACCCACGTACAAAAAGACCCGGCTCAACTCAACCCAACCCAGAGCTCTCCAAATACAGGAGCTGATTCATTTCTGTGAATCCCAGCAGCATCTAGCAGCTTGTAGTAACACTAATGTAATCAAAAAGCTAATGATCCCATCATCTAATTTTGACAAGCAGGCTTCGTAACAGAGAGTAAATACTTGAGGTCTTATTGTAAATATTTAAAGAATCCCCAATTAGGAAAATTTCCCTGGAGTCACAACAGAAGCACCGTTCCTGCAAATTTAGAGCTCTTATCCCAACCCATCTATTATTCAACGCTTTGTTCGCTAACTCCCTGAAATTTAATTTCTTGCAACTATGTAGAATAAAAGTAGTTGAAGGTTTAAAAATAAAATTACAAGCAGTTATGACCAGCGCTTCTTTGAACATATCATGCATTATTGCTCAGTCGGATGTGAACGGAATATTGCCCGTGTCAGAAAAGCTGCTTCGTTTGCCTCTTATCTAAGCAGTTTGGCAAAAAAATATATTTAAAAAAAATACTCATAAAATTGGCATAGTTTCTGTTATTTAGACAGCTTTTTTTTTTTCTTTTTTTTTGCATGCAAAGGTTTTGGATACTTAAAGTGGCAAACATAAAAAAGATACTCAAAGTTTACAAAGTGTCAAATGCTTTGGCATATTTGTAACAAAGGCAAAATACTGCAATAAAGTGCAAAATAATACAAGATAAATAAATAAATAAATAAATAAATAAATAAATAAATAAATAAATAAACATGAAAAAAATTATTTTATAACACTGGTTTATAACCTTATTAAAGGAATAGCAGGCATTTTTAACGTCCACATTCCTTTTGAACAAAGACAAATAAATAATAATGAAAAAACATATAAACGTTAGATCATTGTGGAGCAGCCTGATGGCTCAGTTTGTGTTTTGTGCTAATATTTAACTAGAGGATCATTTTACTATTATTCAGAAGCCAATTGGTGTTAAACATTAAAAAGAACTTCACGTTTTTTACCTGTCACTTCTATATTTTCAATGCATTTGTGGGAAAAGTTGGACTTGCTTGTTTTCACAATTCATTGTGGTTCAAAGATTCACCAGGGATGAAATCATGTTGAGGTGTAAGAGAATATTATAGATACTGTGGCTCAATTAATGGACTTAAAGTTGTTCCTAGCAATTCAATTTAAAAAGTGAAACTCATATAATGTGTAGATGTATTACACAGAGAACAGTATACACTAATTTGTTGATTTCATACACCTCTGGCCATGGACGTTGCTGGAACACCTGAATTCAAATGTTTTTCTGAATATAGTGAATTTCAAATTCTCATTTCTGCTCATTATGATGAACCCGATTCGTCTCAAATTAAATCATTGTGCACAATTTTCTGCTAAATGTTTTCCTTCCACTCAGTTTTGGATGCTTGCATCATTCTGTGAACAATCAGCTTCTTGTGCAGTGACTTTTTCTGGCTTATTCTCCATATGGAAGATGCCAATGATTGTCTGAAGTGTAACTATAAAGTCTACCAGGACTTTTAAGGCCAGAACTTACATTTCCCCATTAAAAATCACTTTTAGTTAATTATAAGAGAAAATTCATTTTGGGTTTTCATTCACTTCAAGTTATAATCATCAAAATGCTTCACATATATCACTCCATGTGTAATTAATCTACGTAATGTATGAGTTTCATTTTTGTTCATATTTTTCATCGTAAAAAGCAGAACACTGGTTATTCTTCTGATTCCTTTGCGTTTTCTTGTAAGCTTCAGTTTCACTGAAAACAAGACACGAGAATTATCCTTAGATTATGAATGTTTGTGCCTGAAAAAGCTGGAAATAATTTGCTCAGACGGTGGATTCTGTGCTTGATCACATGAATTCTGAGAAAAGACAGAGACGTGGAAGAGCAATTGTGCTTTTGTGTCGTTTCCTCGTTGGTAGAAAAACATCTGACGTGGATTGATAAGGACACAAATAGATCTCAAAGTAGGAAGCACCAGATGTGCTGTGCTTTAGTTTACCTCACTGGGGGATAAATCCTATCAGGTTCTCTCAAACTTTTTAATAAACCTTCAAATAAAAATAACTGAGAGGCTTGCGAAACGAGAAAAAAAAAACTCCTCCTTTGTTGCGCTCTGGTTAATCTTTTGGAGTAAAGCAGAAGAAATCGGATGTAAATGAAGTAAATAAACCCTAGATGTGCTTTCAGAGACTCTTATTCACTCAGTGAGCTCAGTGGGGAAAAAGCCCCCTTAAAGCACGCAGACTCGTAGTGCTTGTTCAGGTAACTCTTGAGTGCAAACGTCTTGTTGCACCGCTTGCACTTGTAATGCTTGAAGGCTGAGTGAGTCTGCATGTGGGCACGCAGGTTCGACCGGTCGGCAAAGGCTTTCCCACAGTGCGCGCAGCCGAAGGGCTTCTCTCCGGTGTGAGAGCGCATGTGACCCTGCAGCAGCCACGGTCGGCTGAACGCTTTCCCGCACACGTCGCACTTGTGCTTGAGGTCGTGGGTGAGCAGGTGCATGGCCATGGCGGGCATGGAGACGTACACTTTCCCACACGTCGGGCACTTCTTGGCCATCTTGCTGTCGATGCTTCTGTGCGTCTGCTTGTGTCGGCTCAGGTTGGAGGACGTAGCGTAGGTTTTACCGCACTCGCTGCATGTGTGCCTCTGGGTGGCCCCTCGTGGGTTTGCCGCTGCTTTTCTTCGTGACCGTCCATCCATGATGAAAAAGGCGTCTACTGAGTATCCTTCGCTCACGGCGGCGTCTCCGTTAATGTATCCGCCGGCTGAGGACGAGACCTCAGACCTCGGACTGTCCGGCTGGTCCGAGTCCCCATGGATGTCGCTGTGGATACCTGAATAGGTGTTGTTAATGTGGCCGTAGATGATTGACGAGTGGCTGGGAGAGGGCACTTTAGAGATGACTGAGGAATCGCTTCCCACCACGTCTTCATAGGGATTCGGACTTAGATAATCACTGACGTAACCTAAGGAAACAACAAAACACATTAGTCATCATGGAGGGAGGGACGATCAGACATTAAAATCTGGGTTGTAATTCTTATAATGTATCCAACTCTTGTGGATACGTTATCCACAAGAGTTGGGTGTGAGAATCTGCTTTAGATTACCAGAAAATCCAACTATAGAGCACCAAAACAAGATCTAGACTGCAAAAACACAAAATCTTGAAGGATTTTTTTTGGTCTAGTGTACACTTGAAATAAGACAAACTGGTTTTGATAACTAGGATCAGTTGAAATGGATGATTATATTAAAGTTACTTTGACTTCAAGATGACGTGTTGTGAATTGGCGCCTCATAAATAAAAAGAATCAAATTAAAACACAACTTTGCCACTAATGACTGTTTACTTGTCCCTCAGTTTAAAATACTTGACTCAAACCTGGAGATGTTGCTTCAATATGTGCATATAATTTTCATTATGCTGTTTAATTTCTGAGGTGTGTCAATCAGAAAAACAAACATGATACAATAAGTTCCATAATTTACAGCTCCATCAGTGTACTCAGGTTTTTAAGCCTCTATTATTTTTATCTAAATGTACCAAAGGTATGATCAAACCTTGAGTTTAATCAAACCAGAGCATACAACTCTGGAAAAACTTAAGAGCCCACTGCACCAAACCCCATTGGAAACATCCTGGTTATTCCAGCAAATATTGGTTTCTGAACTCTTCCTGAGTTAAAACATTAGAATTGTTTCTAAATGAATATGAAGTTGTTTTCTTTGCATTGTTTGAGGTCTGAAAGCACTGCATCTTTTTGTTATTTTGACCATTTTTCATTTTCTGCAAATACTAAAGTTTTGCTTGGAATTTTGGAGACATCTTGTCAGTAGCTCATAGAATAAAGGAACAATGTTCATTTTACTCAAACATAAACCTATAAAGAGTAAAATCAGGGAAACTGATCATTTTAATTGTTCTCTTATGTTTTCCAGAGCTGTATATCTCCAAATATTCAGTTATTGTCACTAAATGTACTGACACTATAATCTAGATTTATGACTGAGTGACTTTTCAGCCTATATGCAAGCAATGACTGGAATTCACTCTGGATATTAATGCCTTAGCCAGTTTATTGACGAGGTCTTTCAGTTTCGTTCTGGTATGAACATTTTGCACACAAACCATGCTGTTTAAACTTTTGTGTAATTGTTTAAAACAATGGATGTGGCACCTTGAACATAAGACAAACCCAACTTTCCCTTCCAGATTTTTTGGCTTATTTCCACATCGAAGTGTTTGACATGTTGGCTTTAACTTTGGCTACATTCACACTGCAGCCTTTTGTGATTTGATATTTTTTGCCGTGGTCGTTCACACTTCGTATTCTCCAGTGTGACCTGAAAGTGTCCCGCATGCGCAGTAGGGGGCGCATTACTGTCAGCGTTCTCAGTGTTCTGCCCACCGCCATAAATAGAAGAAGTGCTCAGTATTTGCGGAAGTAAACATGGATGCTAACGGTGGAGCTTAGCTTACACATTTGAAGTTGTTCTCCGACCGGAGCGGCATTTTAACAACTTAATCCTCGTTATCATC